TTAGAATAATATCTTTTTTTTTTTTAATCAATAATCAGTAATAAACAAGGTTCATATATCAATCATAAAATTTATTCTCTTCAATAATGCATTTTGGTTTTATGGCTCATCGAATATCAGATTTTTAATTAATTAATTCTTTAACTTTTTTTTATAAATTTTTTATTATTTTTTAAAATCTCATACATCATTCAATGAAAATTTTTTTCATATTCTCGCAATAACTTACTTTTATTAAATATTTAGTTATATAATCTTTGATTTTGATAATTTTTGAAAAGAAATAATTTAAAAGAAGATATCTATAGTTGGAAAAAATTTTTAAATCTCATAAACTATAAACTTTCTTTAAATACAAACATCCATCTATTATTATTATTATTATTATTATTATTATTATTATTATTATTATTATTATTATTATTATTTTTATTATTATTGGTGATCGGATTGAATCGAACAGTTTGGAAGCGTTTTATTCTTGTAACCAGTGGAACCAACCTAATTAGTAATAGTGAACCAATAATGGTGAGAAATATTAGAAGAAGATGAAATTCTTATCACAAATCTATTTTATCTAAACATCTATCACTCTGAATTTTTTTTATAGTTTTCGTTTATCTTCGTTCTTTCATCTTTTTGCTACTCTTTTTCTTGTTCCTATTTAGACTTCACCTAAGCATTTTTGCTAAATAATCAGTTGTGGATTATGACAAAAGCCATTTACAGCCATTTGGATAATTTTGGTCTTTTTTTTTAACAAATGAATTAGTAATTTTGAGAAAGAAATTCTTTTCTCGAGCATTATACCGTTTAAAAAATAATTGAAATAATTTGAATTTGAAAAATTTTATTTTTATTCTTATATAAATTTCAAAATTAATTAACATGCTTCATGCCAATTGCTACATGTTAATAATCATTTTCTTTCACGATTTCGACTTCTTCTTCGATATTCATACTTTTTAAAATTATATTAATTAATCCTATTCTAATTACTAGTGAATTAAAAAATTATAAAAAAAAAGAAGGAAGAGAAGGAAGAAGTTAGTGAGTGTCGACGAATATATTTTTTAGATAGGAAAATATTTAAGAAATAATTTATTTACTGTAAGTAAGTAAAGAAGGCAAAATTTTTATTTTGATCTTTAATTTGTCATCAGTGATTTGATATAAAAATTTTCCGGAAATTTGATTTTTTTCTTCTTGCCTTTTTTAGATTTTTTCAGCTTTTCCTAGATTTTTTTTGCATTAGACTAAATATTTTATGAAGAAAATATGGTGACATTTATATATTTGGTTGACATTTTTGGCAGAAACCAGGAACTTTGAATTTCCTATATTTTAGAATTTCCTAAGGTTTTTTATATTTTATCATTTTTGGTTCAATTACGGTGCCTATTTTTTTCTTTTTTTTTATTCGTCTATTTTTTTCGTGAAAAATTGAAATTATGGTAGAGAAAAAATGATGATTGATTAATTTATTTTGAACTTATATTTATTTGAGAAATCTGATGCCGATAATTTTTATTAAATATAACATTAATAGACAAAAAAAAAAAATTAATTACTTATTCATCATTTATTTATTTGAAGAATCACTAAATAATATTAATAATTAAATAGAAAACATGAAAAAATTGTGTAGGTGGAATAGTGACGAGATAATTACTAACGAGGGTGGGTCTGATTCCGACCGATGCACAACTCTTCGACAGGCGAGTAATGTCATCGAATGGCAGAAACAAAAGGAAACAATAGTAGGTTGTTGCTTAGCTAGAGTGAATGTTACCTGAGGTTTGATAGAGGCTCGACAGAAGTAAATCTATCTTTTAGAAATCTCTCGCTTATGCTAATGACTTGTCCTTATTTATTGCTTACCATTTTTTTCTTCTTATTTTTTCAAATGGATTTTTAAAAAAGTAATTTATTTGAATTTTCTGAAATTACAAAAAATACTCCATTTTATTTTTTTTCCAGTTGCAAATTAATATTGTTATTTGCTAATAAAAACCAATTTTATGTGCCTACTTCATTTATAATGGAGTTTTTATTTGTTATTTTCGTTTCTAATGAATTGTAAATGAATTGAAATGAATTGAAATCAAAATGAATAAATTTTAAATTTTATTATTTACCAATAAATTTTATTATTTTTTTTTAAATATATTTTCGTTTTTTATTAATCAAAAAATATTCATTATTCTCATTTTTATTTTTTTTTCGATATTTTTCGAATAATTTAGGTGATTTTAAACGGTTCAGTCGTTCATAAATTTTATATTTTTTTTTTTTGTTCATGATTAGTTTAATTTGTTACGCTTTTGAATTTTTCCATAAATAATTTAATAGAGAGGTTTAACTTTTCCTTTTTTGTTTTTTATAAAAATAATTTTTCTTTTTTAGTGGTGAAAATAAGCGAGAAAATTTATGAAAATATTCGAATCTAATTTAGAATTTGAGACGATCGACAAGCGGAAATAGACCAACCATAATCCTTTTTCCTCACTTCTTATAATTTATAATAATATTTAAAAAATATAGCGATAAACGAACGAAATTAGTTCCGTAGTACAATAATAAATCAACCAACCTTTTTTCTCTCACCGAAACAAAAAATTGTTTCAATTTTACCATTTTCATATTTCCCAAAAAAAACTATTAATTTTCTCGATTTATTCAATTCATTTATGCCTTAATATTTTTTACAAAAATTTTCACGACTATTACATAATTTTCATGGTTTATATGTTGCATAATTTTTTTTGGAAAAAATGAGAAAATTTGAAATTTTTTTTTTGAGAGAATAATATTAGAAAAAATTTTCGCTAATAATAATAAAAAATCGCTAAAATTTTCTTAAAATTCAGCTGAAATCGTTCAAATATAAAATTTTTTTCATTAATTCATAAATATGTCAGCCAATTCCAAGATACGATATATTCATAAAGTCCCATTGCATTTTAATGAAAAATTTTTTCAGGTACTTATTTATTATTATATTATATTTACATTTTTTACTACATTGTTATTATTATAATTATATTACTACATTTATTTGTATTTATTTATATTTATTATATATATACATATATATTATTATATTATTATGTATGTTATTTTATTATTATATATAATAATATATAATTATATTTATTGTTATATTATTATATATAATTATATTTATTATATTTATTATTATATTATTATTAGTATTTATTATTATTATTAGTATTTGTTTATTATTATTTATTATTATATTATTATTAATTATTATTATTATAATATTATTACTATCATTACTTTTTATTTCTATTTTATTGTTATTGATATATTATTTCTTCTTCCTTATGAATGATAATTACTACCAATTCTTGTAATTACTTATTACAACTATTATTAATTTCAATAATAATAATTATTAGTATCATTATAATTAGACAGGGAGAAAGTTATATGATAATTCCTATTCCTAAAAATTATTCCTAAAAATAAAATCCTTATTATTATCGTAATTCTTTAGTAACAATAAGAAAGATAGTTAAAAATAATGTGTTAAATGAATTTATAATTTAATTAATTTTTTATCGTTATTATCTGCTTTCTCTCTTTATTTTCGTATTTTTTAAGCCGATATAATTCAAATTTTAATTATAAAAAAAATTATAGATTTTGAAATGTTTCTTTCTTATTAAAGAAAAATTGTAGGAAATGAATAAATAATCAGAAATAAGCAATTGTTTGATTAAAAAATTATTTTTTTTTTTATTTTTTAGCCAGAAGAAGGCGAAACGCAAATTATTCATCCAAATCGCGAACAATTATCGCGAAGATATGCGCTGATCCCCGAACAAGTTAGTTTATTTTTATTTGCTGGTCGATATTTCATAGTTTTTTTCAAATTTTAATTTTTTGAATTCAATTCACGCGAAATCTTTATTCATAAACTGATTTTTATACACGCATTGATTTGAAAAAATCAGTCAAATTTACATTAATAAACCATTTTGCTTGTAGCAAAAAAAAAAGAAAACTTGGCTACTTTTCTATACTTTTCGATCAATCAGCCTTAGAATATATGCAAACTAAGAGAAATTATAATTATACGATTTTTTAAAGATCGAACGAAAATTTAAAGCAAATAGGTTTATATAGCCGAAAAATATAATTTTTCTTAATTAATATAGCTATGAGCCAAAATAAAATTTTCAAATTTATCAAATTTGCGGGGGAAAAATTTTTCTCATCAAAAAAATTAAAATGAAAAAAATTTATTAGAGGAAGTAAATTTTAATTTTTCAGCAAAGTGTTCAAAGTGAACAGTAAGTTTTTACAAGCAAATCAGATCTTCTTATTTATATTTTGCTGTCAATAGAAGTCAATAGAAGCGAATCTCCAAAAATTCCTATGGTGAAATCGAGTCGTTTAGGAATTATGGCATCGTTTTGATTTTTAACTAACTAGTAATTTTGCAATGAAATAACTGTACGACAACTTATTTGCCTATTTCTACGATAAAATAATTGCACAAAAAAAAAATTTCTAAATCAAAAAAATAAATTTTAAATAGAAAAATAACGAAAAGAAAATTGGTATTGTCTTATCAGCTTAACATTTATTTGCCTAAACATTTATCTAAATTTCTAAGAAGAACAAAATGCCTGTGCAAATTTTTTAAGAATATGCAATTTAACTAATTGTAAAGCAATAGGAGGTATAATATAGGGAAATATTAATTTTCGTGATCTATGAATTCATGCCAAGGTTCGTTCCTCATTCTATTCTTTTTATCTCGATTCAATCACTAAAGAAACGGAAAATTATGAAAATGAAATAGAGAAGAGGATTAAAATAGGATTAAGAGGATAAGCATCATAAGCATCACGACGAATAAGTTATGATCGGAAATTATTAAAATATATTGATGGTACTTCATCAGTTGTTTCTATTTATTTTTGCAAGTTTACTTTTTAATAAAGAAAAAAAAATAATAAGAAGAAATGAATTTGAGAGATGCACAAGGTCGATGCCCAGCAGACAATGTTATTATTGTTCCACATGTGCAGATTACAACGAATGAATCGCATTTATATAATCGTGCAATTAGTTCGGGAAGTGGTATACTTGCAGGTAAAACCTCACCACCATACTAAAACTTTTCTATAACTATATTTTTGTTGTTTTTACATTTTTGCTTTGGCTTACCTTTTCTTAAAACATTAGATTATCACATGTCCTTAGGAACTCAGCAGGCTATTCTAGAATTCTTTTTTTTGTCTTTTAAGAGCATTCACCATGTTTGGCTAGATTCGCTTCGCTTATCTGACTAGATAAATATGCCAATGGATCCCTTGGTGAAGATAGAAATACTGGTCAGTATCATCAGGTTTTTTGAACAGATTTATTCCTGCCAGAACCTCACCATCGACGTTCCGATACTATCGCCTGGAAAAGAATGGTTATACGAACCCAATCTTTGATCATCTTCGGTGGAAATTATCTTTCCACTAAACCACTAGAATTACTAGAATTCCACTAGAATTTACTATATTCATCATATTCACTCTATATGTTATTAGATTCTAGTTGGCTACGATGGTAAGCGGTACAGCCCGATGCCATCGTCCGATATCAGTCCGATAGAGTAAATATATATATATATTTTACTATTAAGTATATATTATTATATATATAATAAAAATATAATAATATTTTAAAATAATATAACATTATTTGTCTTCGACAGGAGTAAACCTGTTATGCCAAAAATCCAAGTGGTAGCTGCAGAACCACCCGTAAGTCTATTCCCAAGTGATTCTATGCATTCTGAAGAATTTTAAATCGAAATTCGCTTAAAATTTAGCTTTAATTTGATGGATTTTGATGCATCTTACTTGTTGAATATATTAAAAGTTTGATTAAGCTTTACACATTTGATTTGCATCTCATTAAAGTAATTTAATTCACCAGCGAAACAAATTTACGTAAATATAGAAATTCATTTGGATTAATAAAATGAACAAATGATAAATAAAAGAAATTTGTTCGATTAAAGTTAATATGTTAAAAATCCAAAAAATGAGGGATCCGATAAACTGATAAAGTGATTTCAAATTTTTTTCTTTTTTATTTTATAAAATGGACAATTACTATATATATATTTTTTTTACACTTCTGGTTAGCTAGCTTAGATAGAATGAAAAAACTTTGCTAGAAAATCATTTGGCGATAGAAATACACGTGAATCGTCAATATCACTTGGATTTTTGAAAGATTCACGCCTGGAGTAGAACTCCAATATTAGCATGCCGAGATGAAATCAAAAACACACTGCGCCATTATATTCCCGGCGGGTACAACTAATGCTTACTAGAATTATGCAATAATTTTTGTTTTAATTTTAGATTTGCAAAGGGCAACGATAGCAACTCAAGCATTCTATGCTGATACTAAAGAGCAGACAAAAACGCGATCACCATGGATTTTGAAAAGATTGGTATGATTGTAATCATTCCTTCCAAATATTTGTAATTTTATCTATTTATAAGATCGAAATGGGACTCGGAACTCGTTTAGATGGTAATCTAAATGGTACCAAGGGAATTTTCCTTGACATTTTTGGTTATTTTTTTTTTATAAGCAGAATTTTGTCTTTTGTATTTATCAACTACTGTAGGCATTAATTTTAGTACGAATGGTCACATCGAGCAAAAAGACGTGAAATTACCAAACATGTTGAAGCAGCGCTTGAAAATGCTGTCGATCGAGAATTCGACGATGAAGAACTTCAAAAATTAATGGTATTTTTTAAAATATAATAGTCATACTACTGAATCACTTTCTACTGTACTTTTCTGGCATTTTGAAGTTATTATTGAGTTATTACCTTTAGACTAACTCCTCTCTCTTCTAATAATACATTCACTATTTGGTTTTTGTGATTCCTTTTATTTTGTTACCACTTGCTCTAAGAGCCACTCATTGGTACAGATAAGGTGGTCGAAATTCATTTTTAAAGAAAAACTTGTTTTCGCCATAGGTCGAATCGAATCCACGGTAAGGAACAACATATTACTCGATCATTCTTCGTCTTGGATCATATTGCTATTTAAAATTTGGCTCATTTCTTTCGTTCTATAATTCTTTGTATAATCAAATTTTGTATCAAATTTAAATTTAAAAATTTAATTTAAACTTAAAATTAAAAAAGTAAATTTACTTAAAAAAGTAGATTTTTTATTAATTTAGAAAAATTTATCAGTTATCAGTTTAGAAAAATTTAAACTGATTTAAATCAATTTTTCGTTTATAAATTATTGTATTTTAAAAATATTTTATTATTATCATTAAATATTATTTTCTTTAGCCAATTACCTGTGAAGAAATGTTTAAAATAACAGCAAATATGTTACCAAATGATCAAAAACGATTTCAAAGCGTTTGGGAATTATTTCATAGCGAACTTATCTTCCTTAATAAACAACTTCTTGTTTTAAGGTTTCTATTCGATATTTTTCATTAATTTAGTTTTCTAAAATTATTCTCCAATGAATTATTAGTTTCTTATCGAATGTAATTCTCTCTATATTCTATACTTAATTAAAATTATTTTAATAATTTTTAATTATTCAATATTCATCTAAAATTTTTTCTTCTAGAAAAATATATTTTATAAATTTAAGCGACAATATATCGCCTAAATAGAAGGAAAAACAAAAGAAAATAGAATAGCTGATTCGTTTCACTTCACTGACTTATCGTAATAGACAAATATACTAGGAGAGATCCATCATGACACACGATTTTTAGACAGGTTTAGTGTCCTGCATGGGCATAGAACCTGAGAATCGACGCTCGGAATTGAACAACAACCCACTGAGCCATTCTAGTGAAATTCTATAGATTAAATATTTTCCTCAAGAATTTCATAGAAAATTTAGAAATTTTTAAAGAGAATTTGCAATAAATTTATTTTACAATCTCAAATATGTTTAGAAATGTCTATAGAGAGCCGATGAAACGATGTCAAGTCGAAGGATATCTTTTAAGTATAGAACCAGATCTTTTATTTGGTAATTTAGATCAGCTTTGCAGAGTAACTATTGCATTCAATTTTTTTTTTTCAAATTTTTCGAACTACAAAAATGGAAAAAATTTAGTTCGAGGATGATGTTACAATCCTTTATCACCACTTACCACTAATCATTAATCCATAATATCAAAATAAATAAGACAATAAGCCTTTGGAAATTAATTATATTATTTTTTTATGGCTTTATACTCTTAATTGTAGACAAGTCGAGGATTTTGTCATCTTTTCTTAAAGCTATTAAAAAAATTAAAAGAAAATGATGGAAATTTCACCACTACGGATCTCATTGTTCAACTTTTTGAAAAGGTTAAGCATTTTTCTTTTTTAATTTTTCTATTAAAAAATTTGATATTCAGTTTGAAATTTTGATAAATTCGATAAGCCTTATTAATCATCAGCCTTATTAATCTATAAAATCATTTAGCAAATTTGCTTATTCGCCAGCATAAAAAGTAAATTCATGAATTTAGTATATTCTTAGAAATTTATAATAATTTTTAGTTTTCCAAAGGACCATCGACAATATCGGCATATCAAGCATATTGTATAAATTATAAAGCAACAATGGAATATTTAGGATCGATTCGACAAAAAGAGGAGAGATTCAATGAATTTGAGCGAGTACTTTCTTGATTTTTATTTTTGTTTTACAAATAAATTACAGGAGTAAACCTGTCGAAAAATCCGGGTGATGCTGGCGACTCACTTATACTTCTGTCGCTAAGGAACTATCTGGCATATTTGTCTAGTGCGAAAAGGTAGCTGAGCGACTGAGTAACCAATAACGTTGAGAGGCTCTTTAAAAGAAAGAAAAAAAAAATGAACCGACCAAAATTTTACTAATATGAATGAATCAAATTTTATAATTTTTATTGCAGATTTGTTTATTAGATCCTCGTTGTGAACGTTTACAACTTGAAGATTTACTTATAGCTCCACTTCAACGAATAACCAGGTTACCTATATTATTACGAGAAGTTCTCAAATATACGGAAGACGACGATAAGGAACGAATTGAAAAAGTCATAGAATCTATGAACGAGTCGTTAAGTAATTTTTTAATTTAATTTAATTTAATCGAAATTTTTATTTTATTTTTTCATTAATTTTATATCTTCCAACAATTGCTTTTAAGTAAATCTTATAATGCTATTAAAATTTTGCTTATGAATCTAAATAGGATATTTCTATCTATTCAAATTGTTCAAGAAAAAATTATTGTCTAATTTATCTATAACCATTATCATTACGCTTATTCCTTCAGGATCTATCGATGATTCGGTGCAATGGTTGCATAATTTCGAACGACTACAACAATTACAAAATCAAGTTATTTGGCCATCAATTATTGAGATGGAGCCACGCACTTATATTCCAGATGTAAATTCTATTTTATTGTACTAATATTTTTTTTTGTTGAGCCTATGAAAAAAAAAAGGAAGAGCAAGATTTATTGCTATTTATTTGATGTGATATTAAGAATTCACAAATTATGAATAATTGTGAGCTAAATTTATTATGGTGATAAATTTAAGTTCCTCAAAGTTGCACTATCGCGACAATTCTGCGAGCATCTTTTGGCTCATCCAAGACGGAAACTAATTCACGAGGGGCATCTCGAACTTGTTGGTTGGTAATTTTTTGTTTTCTCCTAACTGAGCCAAGCCATTACATTTCAAATAGAATTTCTCCTAAAATTATATGAACTATATTAAATATGAAATAAAGAATAAAAAATATTCTAATTTTTAAGAAAATGGTCGAGTTTCGGACTGTTATGCATTTCTTTTTAATGATATGTTTGTGCTAACGAAAATAAGGAAATGTGCAAAAATTAAGGTAAATTTTTTTTTTTTATCATGAAAAGCATTACGAGTTGACTGAACTAATTTTGGAAATAATTTTAGAAAGGTGCCAATCAGGGATCGGCAAGGATGGAACATTACGTTGTTCATAAGCAACCAGTTCCATTAGATTCTTGTGTTTTTTGCGATGCCGATTCAAATGATTCTGAATCGTCTAGTGAGAGTCTTTTTGGAAAATTTCTTAAATGATAAATTTTTTCCTTGATTCTGGAATCAAAAAAAAAAATCTCATGATTAATTTAATTCTTATTTTCTACTGTACTTTATCATAATATCATATTTATCAGCTTTCAGTTTCGTTAAAATTCGCATTTGTAATAATTCACTTAACTCGGTATTATCAAGTCGTTTCAATTTATACTCTACAGGCAGCTGATAAGAGTGATAAAGTATATGTTAATATTTCTTAATATTTTAATATTTAATATTTTATAATATTTTCATAAATTGATATAAGCTATTTATTAATTATATTAAGGAGTTATGGATCGAAAGGTTTCAAGAATCCATCGAAAACTATGAATCTATTCAACTAAAGGATATGTTAAAATGTACGCCATTATTTTCAAGTTTATCATTAAGACGATGTTCAAGTTCGAGACTTTTGCCTTCAACAAATAATACCGATTATAGTAATCGACCAGATCTTTTACAAGAGATAGAAAATGGTGGCGAGTAAAATACGGCCATTTATCTATAATTGCGAAAAGAACTGTGAAAAAAAAATCAAAAACTTTATTTTAAAAACCACTTCATTTAACATAACTTGCGAGCTTATTGCGAGTATTCATGAAAAATACTATGAAAATTTTCCGTGAAACCTCAAAAATATTATTTAAAATGATAATTTTTTAGAAAAAAATGAATAAATTGTTTCGATATAATTATATCTATTTTCCACTTTTTTTTTCATTTTCATAAATTTTTCTTTTAAACAATTTTCGGAAACAATAACAAATGTATTTCAATATTTTAAATATTTGTTAGTAATTTAATTAAATATTAGTAAAAATTATGTATTTGACAATGTTATGGATTTGTTTCTTTTTTTTTTTGATATTTAATGAATGAATTTAGATTTAAAAAAAAAAAATTTTATTAATGAGATAAAAGATTGATATGAAGCGATAAACGACTGAGTTTACAAAGTTGTGGCAAAGAAAAAATTGAAGCAGTTGGTGGTAATAAATGAATTGTAGAAGGCAAATTAACAAAATATGGATGCATCATTGCGGCGTTTGCTGAGATTCTATCCGATGGATTCAACTAAAATTCATTTGTAATATTCATAGAATATTCGTTGTGGAACGAATAAAAAAATGATAATGCGTTGCATTAATTAGAATGAGAATAATGAAATATCTCTAAATGCTTTATTATCACACCACTTATCAACAAATTATCACCGGTTAGATAGTAAAAGAATATAGAAGGTAGCCTTAATGATAGATAAAATTTACAATGGATGAAAAATATTTTAAAGTAATCAGAATTTTTTTTGAAAAAACAAATAGATGAACCAATGAGATATTCTAATACAATACTGAATCACCGCGTGGGGAAGATTTAAAAAAAAAAAAAAACGCGATACCTGAAGAAATAAATTTAATAGCGATAATCCATTTTTTAATTTGTCTAACGATGGATGTACATCCTTCCATTGCATCTCGGTGTATGGTGGATATAAATTCAAGTCGAAATGCGGGAAACTGATTATTTCGGGCCATTTTGTACGATCCGGTAAGCCTAAAGCGATATGAAACGTTTATGGGCTTTGAGAAACTGTATTTATCCGATTTTGTTCATTATTTTTTCATATTTCCTCATTTAAAGCAAATCTATTTAAGAAATTAATGAGAATACAGCTTAAAATAGAGAATTTAATTAGCACATTCTTTTTTAAATTTTAATTTTTTATAATAGTTAAAACGATCAATCGATGGTACCAATACATAATATATTGAGACACCAGGTTTCCTTTTTTCATGAGGGATTTGACCTTGGGAAAATAATCATTTAAAATTATGCTAAGAATAAAATAAAATTATTGCAAGAATCTGAAACATTGAAAGAATCCGAAAAAAATTAGTGATAAACAATTACGATTGCTTTTTACCACTTATAAGAAAATTGATTTCGGGTTTTCGGGATTTATAAAGATTTTCGGAAAAAATTTTTAATTGAGTTTTCAATTGCATCGAGAAATTTAGAAATTATTGAGTGAAAAAATAAAAATTAAGGAATTCTCTAAAGGAAAACTAATTTTGCTAATTAATTGAAATGCCGCAATTTGGAATTTTTTGGAAATATTTTTATCTAAAATTCTATATTATAAAATACATTTAAAAAAATAAATATATAAAATATAAAATTAGAGAAATCGAAAATTTAGACCAAAGTAATTCCAGTGACAGTTTGAACATTTAGAACTGTGTCTTCTAAAATAGAAAAGATTTCAGCAATTTCCAGGAACAATATCATAGATCTTTATCCAAAAGACCGCGCTATTACGAATCTTAGCTGTTCGTAAGGTACTGCACAGAATCCTCGACCTTCCAGGCTTCTGGCAGATCACTTTAGGTTGAGAATGGTTATCACTGTTCACAAAGGGTGAGAAAAAGATTTTTATAAAATATTAAATTTTTTTCATAATACTTGTTCCTTCAATTAAATTGCATGCATGATGTGTATCTCGTAAAAAAAATTTAGAAATTGAATCATTCTTTGGTAATAAAAGATTTTCGAAATAATCAATAGCTGAAAATTGTCGAGAAATCATATATGACATACCTCGAATGCTAAAAATCCGGTCGAGTTGATCGACAACATCTTTAGTGCCAGGAAATAAAGCACTACCCGTACACATTTCTGCTAATATACAACCAACACCCCTCAAATTTTTTTTCAATTTAGTACCAATTATTTGTTTCCTTCTTGCAATTCAGCGAAGGTATTTGATAAAGTATAATTGTGATAATAATTTATTAGAGAAAAATATAAATTACCATAAATCAAGAGATGTGGAATAATTAGTGGAACCAAGTAACACATCAGGTGGTCGATACCTAAAGGAAAATCTTATAATTTCATGTTCATCTATCAATATTTCATTTGTTAATAATTAAAAATTTTAAAAAAAAATAATAAATTTATCTACCATAGCGTAACAACTTCATGTGAGAATGTTCGACTTGGAACGGATTTTGCTCGAGCTAATCCAAAATCCGCCAGCTTTAATTCACCATTATCGTTGAGAAGAAGATTTTGCGGTTTTAAATCTCTGTAAAAATTTTTTAAAACCTTATTTGCATTTAGCAGCAAAATTAAGTCTATTTATGATAAATATTTTTTTTGTTTATAAAATAATTTTTTAAGTGGTAAATATTTTTGAGAAATTCGGATTTTATTAGTTAAAGAGGGAATTTGCTATTGGCTATAATTTGTTAAAATATTTTAAAGAAATAATTAACCGATGTAAAATTTTCCTTTCATGGCAATATGCTAATCCGCGAAGTAATTGAAATAAAAACAATTTGATTTGAATAGGATCTAAACCGTTTTTGTATTGTTCCAAGTATTTTCCGAGATCAGTTTTCTTGAAAAAAAAAAGTCAGATTATTGAGAAACTCGAAGATTTGATTATTGTTTAAAAATTACACTTTTCTAAATTTGCCGTAAAATCTCACAAAATTATATAATATTTATAATATTTCAAAAAGTTAAGAAAAAAGAACCATATATTCGAAGACGAAAATTAATGAATCTTGTTCATGAACAATATCATGAAGAGTCACAATATTTGCATGCCTAAGGGCACGGAGAAGAGACGCTGAAAGATGGCATTTATTTCGTTATTAAATTTATAAGTTGGAAAAAAAAGTAATGAAGAAATTATGAAGTGAAAAATTACTAAAATCCTCAATAAGATAAAATTTCAAGGCCCTATTTAAAAGCAAATTTAATTTTTCTAAATATGTATTCGGGAAGGTAATATTCGCTAATAAATATGTATACTTTCATTTCGAAGCGCTATTGCTAAGGTTCTGAGGTGCCAAAGTTCAAGCAAAGATAAATAAAAAGCGCAATAATACTGGCGATTAATATATTCTTCTATAATACCACGTAATTTCCGGGTAAAATTTTTCTTGATATCCAATATGCCAATGGTACACGCCTAACTAGAAAATGGTGAATATTTTTCAAAAAAAAATTCTCTCTAAAAATTTGCAAAAGATAAAAAAAGCGATAACCTTCGCGAATCGCAGTAAAAGGTAACCCTTCATGATTGTGTAGTCTGATTTCTTTCAATGCCACTATTCGACCATCAATCCTATCAAAAAAAAACAAAGAAATTATGAAAGTAGAATAAGAATATAGCACCAAGGACTTGGCTCTATTTCGAATGCACCATTGCACCATTGTTTATTTATTTTTTTATTATCAAAATGATTAGCACTTTTGAAATATTCCCTATTTTCGTTATATTAAATTTATTTAATTCCTTTACTCGTTTGCATCACACGCTTCAATGCAATAAACAACCTATCAAGGTTCATTAATAAATGAAAATGGCAATAAATAAGCGATCTCATGTTAAAATATTTAATAATATTTACATAAAATATTTATATATTTTATTTTTGAAACATAGCAAATTTTATTTTTAAAATTTTATATATTATAATATTAAACATTTTCTATAGAATTCAAGGAAAAAGGATAATAAAAGGGAAATCCATAGAATGACAAATGAGTGATTGAATACTTAAATTTGCTTATTCAGGCTTGAACTTGGCTAAAAATGCAAAACACATTACTTGTTTTCGCTCTTATATACAACAGCATAGCTTCCTTCACCGAGTTTTTCGATTTTACGATAGATTTCATTGATATCGTGTATGGGTAGCAATAATTCCTATAAAATAAAATATGAATTGAAATCAAGCAATAAATTTTATTTATATTTTATAAATTTATGGCCAAAAAAATAACAACCTTGCCAGTCGATAGTATCAACGAATTTGGATCGAAATTAGCTGAACGAGGTCTACGTTTTCGCGAATCATAAGAGCTTTGTGAATTACTATCTTTTGATCCAGAAAGCTTCCTAAATATATAATAAAAATAATTATTTTCATATAAATTTTATATTTTGTATTTTAATTTTAGTAATTTTTTAACTTTTTTTTATTAATTTTATAAGCAATGAAGCAGATAATTTTTATTTCCATATGTTCATTTATTGTACGAGAAATGAATTTATCGAAATTGAATGGATTATGCATGGAAAATCGTAAATGAGAATAAAAATATATTGTTAATGGAAAAATCCATTAAAAATCTATATTTTCTTAAGATGTAACTATTAGAGGAAACGAATAGACTAATTAACTATATCCATTTGCGTTTCTATTCATCGGAAAATTATTTAAAAACCATTTAATCGGAAAATGAGAAATGCATTCCTTCGCTAAATAAGAGGAAAATTTTGATTAAATATTTTAAAAAAATAATGAAACGTTTTATGAATTTATTACATAATTTTTCATAATTTATTTTATTTCTATTTTTATTTATTTTATTTCATTATAATTTTTGTTTTTCTATCGTCTTTCATAATTTTTTTCACTAAAAAATTCATAAAACTCTCAGTGGATTATTGTTTTCATTTCGGAGCACCAATGCTGCAATTCTATTCCAAGTAGAAGTAATCCTATCTTTCTCTTTCAAAAAATCTGGCTAATGGCAAACTCGCTTCCTTTGATGACAATTGACTCTCTGACAAGATTTGTCTAATCCGATCAGCCAGTAGAGCAAGCCTAACCAAATGTTCACAGTAAAATTTAGTGAAAAACTTTGTTATTAGCTTTTTTACCACTCATATATATTTGCTCAAGTTCTCTTTTGTCAAAAAAAACCTCTACCCCTACTTTGCTGTTGACTTAAATTAAAATTGACTTTACCTTGAATCAGAATGTACTGAGCAACATGGATCTGGACGAGCGGTGAGAATAGCATTATTGTTATGCGTTGAACGAGACCTGGATGGTCGCCAGAAATTGAATATACTTCTACAAATTACAAATTACAGTAAATAATTATTTGTAATTATTATATCTCATTTCTTCTCAAAAAATAAATAAAGATAAAATAAGCAATTTATCAAAAAACTAAGCTGTCAGTTTATCAAAGATCAAACCGGAAACGTTTAATTAAAGGTTTAAAGCATAATCTTTGCTTTGTCGTAAAAAAAAATGATGAACAATAAAAGATATTCAAAAAATTTTTAAATTCTTGCATTTTATCAACAACCAGTAAGCATAGTGTAAATGCTAGCATCCACAATTTCAGGCTAGGCTAGTTATATTTAGAAATTTTTTTGTTAGAGAATTGCAGTATGATCAAAATCATGCGAATTTTTTAATGATAATTTTACTATCAGCGTCGAGTGCAATCAACCCTTATCAGCGTATTAATAGTCAGTAAAATCTATTATAATTATTTTATTGGTTCCAGCAAATTTTATTGTTTTATTTAATTTTTATAGAGAAAATTATTTTTTAATGCTAAATTGACTTTAATGTGTTGACGTTAAATTGCAGGATCGAGATTCTAGTGATTAATGATGATTATGAATTATAATAATTGTAAGGCTTGTAGAATATTGGAGAGCACGATAACCGAGTGTGTTTGCTACTCAGATTATCATTTCAAGCGCCAAGATTCGGATCCTTCGTGACAAGAATAACTCTATCATTAAAGGATTTGGGTGATGTTAGCGATCTAACTATCCTTCTAAACCCAATTGAAGCTCTCTGGCAAAACCTCTTATCCACTGGAAATAATCCACTGGAGTAAACCTAATCAGAAATATTACATTGAAATAAGGCAAGGAAACCTATAAAACAAACTTGGACGAAGGCAAATTTAAATTTGTATGCAAAGATTGTGACATTAATTCATCATTAATTGTATTAGATTTAATTGGCAGTGCACCGGTCGAGATCTTCATTTGAATATTTTTCTTTGAAGGCTTATCATTATTCATCAATTTTTTAGCCTTATCAGTCGTCAATTTTGGTTTTTTATCACGAGATTTCCTAAAAAGATTTCCTTTTTAATTTAAGAAACTTTTCTTTTAAATTTTTAAACTTTTAAATTTTCTTTAATTTAATGAAAAAAAAAGGAAAATGATGTGAAACCTTAATGAAAAAATTGATGATTTTCGAGAAATTGGTGGAGTAACTCGGACAGTGACTCGATGCAAATTATCTGAGCTTTTCGATGTTCTAACGGCATTAAGTTGGCGCTGATTGAGTGCTGATAAAGAATAACTTTCCCGAAGTCGAGAATGATCTCGATCTATATTCGCTAACCAAAGTCCTTTAAAGAATGTATCTTTTTTTTTGGTATTTTAGGCTCATTCAAATAATTACAAATTAATATTAAAATTAGAATAATTTTTAATTTTTTAAGTTTATTTTTAAATCCTATAAATTTAATTGGATTTTCATAAAAGTCCTCAATATTATATTAGTTATAATTTATAAAAAATTAAAAAAATACCAATTAGAACACGATTGAATAATTTATTAAATATTTTTTGTGTGGCAAAAAAAATTTTGCGAAGCAAATTTTCGCCGTTTTTATATTTGTAAGAGAAAGCGGTGAGTAAGCTTTTTAGGCTGCTTCACAAATATTACAATCACTTTTATGTTATTTAAGCTATTTTGTTTTAGGTTAACCAAGCGGTGCTAGAAATGGACCATGTTTTATTGATAAATCAAGGATTTTTAAACATATCCTTTTACGCTTATTTTCATAGTTGAAGCATAGTTAGTTTGAAATCACTCAAAATCATTTCCTTCCCAAGTTCAATTGCGATTATGGTTCAAGAAACTAGAAAAAAAATTTTTTTTTAAATAATTTTAAACAATTTTTTTTTAAGAATCCTCACCATCACTGGTTAAACTCGCTCCATTGGCTTGTCGCAATTGAGCAATATTCCAGGGAATCAAAAATGGTTGATGCTAATCCGTATTTTATTTATTGGTAAAAAGTGAGGGTTTTCAAATGAATTTTTCGTAATATCACTCATTCAAATGTAAAAAATTTGGAATATTTTGAAATAACTTTAAAATTATAATAGCAAAAATTATAAAAAATTTGAAATTTTTTAAATTATTTTAAAAATTATAAATATAATAAAAATATAATTTCTGCAAAAAATTTGATTTTTGAAATTATCTTAAAAAATTAATAGTTTCTGCAAAAAAATTTGGAATATTTTGAAATATTTTAAAAATATAATAATAATTTTTGTAAAAAATTTGATATATTTTGATATATTTTAAAATTATCAAAACAAAAACTAACCAATATGAGTGGTTAATTTATTCCACATTTTCGTTGAACAGCTGTCGTTAATGAGTTCTTTACAGAGTGAATTCTTTAAATTCTAGAAGAAATAAATGAATATAAAATCGCTTACAAAAATTTTTTAAAAATCTTTTCATTGTTTAAAAAAATAAAAAAAATTTGCAAACAATTTTTCAATTGCAATTCTCGAATTGTGATTATTATTTCCTCGATGAAATGCTATTATTGAAAATTGTTTCTATAGGATTTAATAGATTTCTAATTTTTTATATGAAAAAAAAAATTCACATTTTAAATTCTACTTAAATATATTCTAATATTTTGCAGATACATAATAAAATAAAATAATAATGATAATAAAAAATAATAAAAAATGATAATAAAAAAAATAAATTTCTTAATATTTTCGTGACAACTGATGTAATTGATAGCTGTAATAATGAAAATTATGCTAGTGAACAATATAATACTTACTTTGCCCAATGTTATTATATATTCTCATTTTTCCCAGATTTCGCTTTATCGAGATGCGAAAAGACGATGTTTGCCTAAAAATAAATTGTTAAATGCAGAGAACAAATTGTGAATGAATCTAAAGAATAGCAAAAATATACTCGAGTTTAATATTAAATTAAACGACTGAAGAAGCTCTAAAAAGTGATAAAATAAATGATAAAAGTGATAAAAGTGAAAAAGTGATGAAGCGCGCCATTATATCCTTTTATTAATAATCTGGATTGATAAGAGATTAGGAAATAAGAGATAAGAGATTAATATACAAGTTCTCTTGTGAAGTATTGTTATTTTTAAAAAAAATTCAGGAATTTTTTCAAATAAAATCTCCATTTTGCTAGAAAATTTTTTGAAATACCAATAAAATTTCTAAATTTATGAATTCCTGCAAGTAATGTCGCTAAAATTCTCATCAATCAACGTTTTTAATTTCTTCACATCTGATTTAGCTGAATTAGCGATTAATTTAGCGCTTTTTAATAAAAAAAATTTTCCAATTTTCAAAAATGCATAAAATAATAATAAATTTCAAATAAATCTTCTAAAATATGCAAAAAAAAACAACTAAAAAAGGCAGAAATTTTTTTTCAAAAATAAAAATTTAAATTTTTTACGATAATAAAATTGACAAAATATTTGTCGATTCTAAATCTAACTGAACTGATTCAACGAAAAAAAATTATCGAATAAAATTGAAAATCGAAAATTTAATTAAGGATTTAACGAGAATCAAGAAAGAAAAATTAGAGATGACAATTGAAGAATATTTGTTATTTTTGCTATTTATAAGTGATTTTTGATAATTTACTACTTATTTATGATTATTTATTTGTTAATGGCAAATGGCAAATACCTAAAATAAATTGGCCATTGCTAGTTTTTGAAATTAAGGAAAGAAAATAAGTATAATATAACAAATTGATCGTAATCAATAAGCTTAATCATATAAATAATTCATAATACTTGATGCGATCACTTTTCGAAAATTTTTGCCTTATAAATGGCTTTCATTGTCATTTATGCATGACAAATCAAATGACATTGCTGACACAATAAATACTTTTTGTGATTTTATACATAAATAAATATATATAAATATATAAATAGGAAATTTTATAATAAAAAAAAGTTTCTAAAAAAAAGCTGATTAAAGTGTATTTGAAAAAGGGATTTATAGAAATAATAAATTTTCTAGAAAAAAAATTTGTTAAAATTTTTAAAATTTATAAAATTTATAAAATTTTTACATAAATAATATTGAAAGAGAAAATAATATTTGAGAAGCTATATTTGATTAATCGCTTTTTATTTTTTTTTCATTTTCCTTTGAAATCAGCGTTATTAAAGTATTTTTATTGATTATCATTATTTAATGAGTTAAGATGAAGTGGAATTGTGGAGAGTGACTTGTGTTTAGTAACTTAGTCAACATCGAGCAATAAACCAATAGTCGTTTATGGATTTTTTTTTCTAAAAGTGCTCATCATTTCTGGTTAGGCTTGCATAGTTGTCTTATTGGTTCTATACGATAAATTTTGCGCAGAAACACGCCAGTATGTTTCGCATTTCTATAGAAAAAAAGCAGTTCGTTGCTGGAGGATGAAGAACTCGAGTATGAGCGCTTCGAAATGAGTACAACATTCCATTGAGCCATTTAATCAATTTTCTTATGTATTTATTTGATTCATTAAAAAATTTAAACATATAAATTGGAATATAATACTATGTTTACGAAAAAACCTTTCAGCAAAGTTTCTTGCAAACTTTGCCAAATTTCGCTAATTTTGAATAAAAAATAATAATTATCCTAATCAAAGTATTAATAATGAATAACTTTCCATAAAAATTTTTAAAGTATGAAAATAAAAAATTGCTTGTTTTGCAATGAAAATTTACTAGTTTCGAATCGACTTAAACTCGAAATTTTTAAAGAACTAACGATTTATTAATCAATTAATCAATTAATAGCCAATAATACTACAGTGATCACTTGATAACCTTAGTGATAAAAATATAATTTCTTTTTTACTTCAAGATATCTACTAAATTTTTCCGAATTTTTTCACGGCTATTGCATAAAATAAAGTTTTATATGATAAAATAAAAAGTGGTGCAAAGAAAGGTTGATAAGGCTGATAATGAGATCACATCAAAAAATGATAAGTTCCATGAAATAATGATTGAGATTAATTTTTATAATTTTCAATTTGCTGCAATACCACTATAGACATGGTTGAAAATAGACTTATTTTCTTGAAAATTTGGTTGTAATTATTCAAAAATCTGCTTACAATATTAATAGATTTACTTTTGCTAATAGCAAAAAGCATACTTTACGCTGGGTGGAATTAAACGAACCTGAAACTGAAATTCGGATGTTGTGGGTAAATTTTTAGCTCTATTTTTATGTGGCACTTTTGAAATATCCTAATACACTAGTCAATTAGTCAGTTTGCGTGTGCAAAATTGGTGCAAGTAATTACCACCTTATGGCATTAGACGCGCATGCTAACTAATTATTTTAATCCATTCTTAATTAGTCAATTATTGACTCTTCGGTTATATTTTTAAGATTGTTTATTTTGAAGGTTTTCTATGGTTTCATATTTCAATGGATTTAAGAATATGAGAAAATATCGGATTCTAACAATGAGAATTGCATTCTTGACAAAAATCTAACAAAAAATGATTATTGCGCCTTTACATTTGAAACACAATTATATTTTTGCATGACTTAGCTTCTCGACGGAAAATTCATCGTTTAGAAATCAGGCAAATTGACACTTTTCACGTATAAAAATCTTATAATCATCCAAGTAATAAGTAGTAAGTATTTTAAATTTTTTTTTAAGAACCCTCACCATTATTACATAGACTCGCTGTACTGGCTTGTCGTATAAGATAATAATGCCAGGCACTCTCTTAACAATAGAGTATCACTCGAATTTTTGGACAGCTTAACTCCTGCAAATAGTGGAACCTCAGCATCACCATTCCGAATTCACTCACTGAGCAACAATTCTATCCTTTGATCAATAGATTATTATCGAAACAACGAGCAAATAATGAGAAAATGAACTTTAAAAAAATGAGAAATCAAGGCATTGAATCGTCGATGAATATTCGTAATTATCTTTTCTTTCATTTTACATAAATAAATCATTCACCAGCGATTTAAAGGTAATTATGAAGACGATTAGTTTAACGAAAATTTAGGAAAATTTGAAAGTTAATTGAAAATGAACAAAAAAAGTGGTTCGTCAAAAGTAAAGCTATTGCAAAGAAATAATTTTGAAAAAGTGATTGGTTTGGCTCGCTTAGTATGATATTAAAAATATTCTCGCCAATAAGACAAATATATAAGCATAATAGATTCCTAAAACGATCCGGAATCTTTCACCAAAACGCTTATTCTAACATTACGAAGCTTACGAGCTCTCAACAAGACGATCCGAGTAATTCTCTGGTCATTTATCCTCTGCCAGGTTATCG